GAGTTTCCCGGCTGGACTGTCAACTCCACAAGGGCAGGCAATGTCCTTCATTCATTGACCTGCTTCCAGAGCCTATAAGAGTAACTGATATATAGTAGCCCTCTACAAACACCTGTCAAATAGAATGAGAGGTAAACAATGGATTAATGAAGTAGAAGGCAATCCCGGGTATCAAAGAATCTGTGGGAGTACGCATTACATTGTGAAAAAGGTGCCAATGGGGAAATTCAAGTTTGTTAAAATCCAGAAAATTCTTCAGTTGTAATTTCTAAGAGCTCATCATTGAACCTAGCTAGGGCTTCCAGTTAACAAAGATGGTGGAGACAAAACACAGAGAATTAGACTTAGGATTTAACGAAATGCCCACAACACATGCGGCCTGATCTTGTGAGAAGTGTAACTATAAGGGGAAGCAGAAATCTTGCCAAAACTAGGGAGGAGTGATAACATGCGGGAGGCTGCCACTTGTTTGCTTTTTATAAACTTAATACTTGGACTGAGAGTTGGACATTCTCACCAGTTTTCTTATCACTTTTTCTTGCTTTACTGATATATCATCTGGGAAAGGTCTATAAATATTTCCTACTGCAAAGGGAAAAGAAACATTTTTTAAAGGCTGATTTATGGGATTCAAATTTTTTTTTTTTCAATTTTTGGAGAATGAAAACTTTCCAGATTTTTATTTTACCTGAAATTAAACCGTTTTCTTGACATTTGTTTATGGAAATGGTTGTTAACGTTTCTTTTGGAGTACTCAGACTCCGCCCTTACTAAGACAGTTTGTTATGAAGTCATCTCCTCCTTTCAGCTACTATTAAAAATACGGATTTTGAAATTTGGTCTTAGACTGCTCATACCTCTTTAGTCACAGATCTGGGCATAGCTAGGCCCTAGATCTAATTTTGGACATTGGTTAGAACTATGTCCTTTTAATATGAGACTTAATTCTTCATTCCCTCCACCCATTTCCAAATAAAAATCTGCTTTTTAAGTTTGAATCAGAATCCAAATAAGATTGCCATATTACAACAGTTTGATATATGTCAAGGAATTTACCTTTTTCAGGTATCTCCTCCATCTTTCTTTTTCTCCTTTGCAATTTATTTGTTGAAAAATAAACTCAGGGCCTCCCCGGTGGCACAGCGGGTTGAGCGCCGTGCCGTGAAGCTGTCTGCAGCCTCTGCAGCCGTGGGTTCGATTCCCGGCCGGCCAGGGAGAAACCCATGTGGCAGGGCAGACCTTTCCTGCCTCACCTGCTGCTCCCCTCAGCAGTGTCTTCCATCCGTCTGACTGTTCTGCTCCCCGCTCTGGCTCTGGTGAATTCTCTCACCCTCCCGCGCCTCTAACTGTACCCCCATACTTGTATAAATAAAAATAAATCTTAAAAAAAAGAAAGAAAAATAAACTCAGCAATTTGTCCTGGGGAAAAAAAGACTTGCTTTTGTAAAAACATCAGAGTACCTGTGGGGTCTTTTCCTCAGTGTACTTTGCATGGAAAAACAGAATTTCCTTGCTTAATGAACTTCAAGAGTTGAAGTGTTGGATGACTCTTTTACCTAAACAGTAATGCATCCTGCTTATTAATATGAAGCCAAAGCTGAATCATTATTCTCACCATAGCAGAGTTAATCACTTACTAGTAATAGGTAGAGAACATTTAATATATTTGGAAGCTGTTTAATCATCAACTTAGGGGATGACAGGACTCTCTCTGGATTTCTGAGAACATGTATTCCATGCTTGCCAAGGTCTTGTCACCAAACTTGTTACTTCAATGAATCTGTTTTTCCCTTGCCATGTTACTTTGATTTCTGCAACCAGTCCTGCTGTACTAAGTGCAGTGACTGAGTGAAGCAATTTGCTGAAATTGCTGCTAAGGTTATACCTAAAAACCCTCAGTACTCAGTTGAGGAACATATTCTCTATTCCAGGCAGGCAAACACAGGTTTCCAAGGTATCAGCCCTGTGTGCATCTGTTTTGTAATGTAATCTCATCAGTTGAACAGATGAAGAATGCTAATTAGCTTGTTTATGCATATGTGATTTAATGAGACTAAACACTTAACTGATCTTGAAGCACAACTTGTTTCCTGTTGCTGTTTTTACTTTCATAAAAAACTGTTAAACACATTTGCTGGGAATTATGGTACTGTGCAATACAGGAGAAGAAAGAATTTCAAAGCAGGTTGACTGCAAGTCAATCAGAGCTTACTGCAACCAGACTGAATCTAGGAAGAGGACAATAAAATTATTGGGTTTTGGGATAAAGGTTGAAATCCAATGTTAATGAAATAAAGCTTAATGGAAGAATTTATCATAACCTGTATTATGCCAGACTCCTAAATCTATTATTAAAAGTCTGCTATGTACCAAAATAGTTTATTTTAGGAAATAGTTCTATACCTTTATCATATCCAAGCTAAGATCTTCTGTTTTTATTTCAGCCCTCTTCTTCTAGTTATTGTAGCTATATTTTGATGTAATAAAAACCATGACATTTAGTTAATCCAAGTCTTCTTCCTGAAAGTTAATATAAAAGAATATTATAATTTTTAAAATAAACATTTCATATTACCTATTATGCTCTCTTTTATTACTTTAAAGTTATACAAAACTGGATCCACATAGGATGTTGTGTTTTGGGAATGGGATGGGTAAGGACATGAAGTAACGCTGGTCCTACAATCAAAATTATATTTTGACCGAAATGTTTCATTTAATTCGCCCAGCTTTGTACAACCAGAGGTCAGCAACTGTCGCCCATGGGCCAAATCCACAGCCTGTTTTTGCTAAGATGACTTTTTAGGACACATCCATGACTGTGCTTTTTTAGATCAGCCATGACCACTTTCCGGCTGCAGTGGCAAAGCTGCACGGCTGATAAGGACCTCCAAAACTACATGTATCTACTCTCTGGTCCTTTCCAGAAAATTTGCTGGTCACTGCAAACAGATATTTGTGAATTTGAGCCTAATAAGAAATGTGATTAAGAGCCTTAGGTTTTTAGGTCTTTCAGAATCCAAGGAACCATTGATAACCTGTAGCATTAAACAGCAACCTTTCTATTCTGGCAAAACATGTTCTGCTCATGAATACATATGATCCTACTTAGACCTTCTTAAAGATTCAAAAGTTACATTTGCTCCTAGGCTTGGGGTGCAAGTTGAGTGATGGAAAGTGCTGCCGCTTCTTTGACCTGGCAGGATGCATGGTCTTCCGTGACACCCATGTCTCCGATGCCCTACAGGCTGGCACATCTTGAGTTGAGCTTCCTTATTTGTCCCAGTGCAGAAAATGAATTGTCCATTGTTCTAAACTTAGGTGATGAATTGTCTGTGAGAAATTACAGGTTGTTGCTTGTTTGTGTTAGGAACCTATTAAGACCATGGTGACACCCATAAAAGAAAGGAAAAAACAAAAAGTTTGAGCTCCATTTGTTTTTTTTAAAGATTTATTTATTTATGCATACAAGAACTGGGGTACAGGCCAGAGGTATGGATGGTGAGAGGACTCATCAGAGATAGAGTGGGGAACAGAACAGGCAGACTGACTGAAATACACTGCTGAGGGGAGCAGTGGGTGAGTCAGGAGAGGTCTGCTGCAACATGTGGGTAGCTCCCTGGCCGGCCGGGGTATTGAACTCATGCTGCAGTGGCTGCAGATCACATCATAGGTTGTGTCTTAACCCCTTGTGCCACCAGGGAGGCCCCTGAGCTCCATTTCCATGCTTTTCCATTCATTTTTGTGTTTTTGGATTTTCTAAGGAAGGAAGTGGTTGGGGGACCCATTTAAAGAAGACCATCAGGGCCTCCCCAGTGGCGCAGCGGTTGAGCGCTGGGTTGCGAAGCTGCCCGCGGCCTCTGCAGTGCCGGTTCGATCCCCAGCTGCTCCCTGGACACCAGAGGAGGGTCCTGCATGGCACGCAGACCTCTCCTGCCTCACCTGCTGCTCCCCTCAGCAGTGTGCCTTGGTCCTTTTGCCTGTTCTGCTCCCCACTCTGGCTCTGATGAATTCTCTCACCCTCCCACACTTCTGACTATCCAGTGCTTGTACAAATAAATAAATAAATAAATAAATCTTTGAAAAAAAAAATAAAGAAGACCATCAGTATTGTTGATAAATTGAATTCACACCCAGACATTTCAGGTGACAAATGACTGATGATCAGTGAGTTTTACAGTGTCGGTGAATTCATGACTACAAGGTCAGCAAAAATAAAAGTATAAGAGAGACTGTGCCAGAATGGCCCAGTGGGTCCTTGGGAAGACCTTTGGGTTTACTCCAGTGTCATCAGGATTCATATGCAGAATCCTTTGTAAATTCACTGGCATGTTCTTGGAGACCAGAGATTCTTTGAAAGAAAAAGTATTTTTTTTTTTCCTTTTCATGATACTTTAAAATTGTTTTTTTGTTTATAGAGAAGAATCCTTTTTTATGGTTATCAGTTCAATTTAATTTTTTTATCTGAAAGCCAGTGCTTCAGGTCTGAAAAAATAGACTTGAACATCGTATGCACACACGTGCATCATATATATATCCTGTAAGTATGTTTGGGAGACATTGGTCTATGCTCTTCTGTTGTTTTTTTTTTTTTTTTCAGGAAAAAAAATCAGAATGAGAATGTAGTCATTGTAACACTGATACAACATAGCTTTAAACTTAGCTTCTGTCATAAAACCATAGTGTTCTACTATGAGGACTCAAGTCAGACCAAATGGGTTATAAAAATGAAAATCAATATTTTAGATTAAAGATATTTTGGACAAAACTATACTCCATTTGAAAAATGCTAAAAGCAAGCATTTTGCCAGTCTACCAAAATAATACATATTAAATAAAGATCTTTTCGAAAGTGCCATCCATTTTATAATTGACCTTTGCTCCAGAATTGTTTTCTTCCTTGAAAATGACATGGCTGCTCTTTCCTTTCTCTCGCCTGTCTTTTCCTGTTGTCATAGGCATATAAAATCACACCTCTTCCTGTTCTTCCCACTGTTCAGGGTCAACCTACGTCTGCAGTGTCCTTGATCTGAGGGTGCCTTCCACTTGTCAGTCCCACATAAGATCAGCTCCCCAGGAGGATACCTGCTTCAGGAGATACCACTGCCACCATGTTCTGCACGAAGCTAAAGGATCTCAAGATTACTGGAGACTGCCCGTTTTCCTTAATGGCACCAGGGCAGGTCCCTAAGGAGTCCTCAGAAGAAGTAGCAGGAAGCTTGGAGAGCTGTGAAGCAACTGTCCCCATCTGTCAGGACCTGCCTGAGAAGAATGCCCAAGGAAGCCTTCCTCAGAGGAAGACCAGTCGGAGCCGAGTCTATCTCCACACTTTGGCAGAGAGTATTTGCAAACTGATTTTCCCAGAGGTGAGTGCTTGCCCTTTGGAGTTTTTACTGATATTTGGAAAACTGTAAAAGAAGGTTTTGCTCTCACTTTCAAGATTATTGTAAGTGTGGACTATTCCTGGAAACATAAAGACAGGTCTTTTTTTTTTTTTTTAAGAATCATTGTATTTAATCTTAAAATGCTCAAGATTCTGAATTCTTTCCAGAAGGATCCTCCATGTTAATGGACTTTATGACTTTGGGCAACTATTTAACTCCTCTTAGCCTCAGCTTCCTTATCTTAAAATGGAAAGAATAGCAGCATCTTTTCCCTAGAGTTTTAGTGAGTAATCCAGAGCCCTTGCTTGTGCCACACTGAGATGGAAATATTGGCAGAGCATCCAAAGGGACTTCTTGACTCAGAGGAAGTGAATGCTCATGATTCTGTCATGGATGACCCGACATTGCCAAAACGGAGTCTTCTATTTGGGATCCAGCTCAGCCTGACCTTGTTTCACAGCTGTCAGAGAGACCACCCAGTTGTGGCCATAACCCACATGCAAACTCAGATGACTGTCAGCTCACTATTTCTTCCCATGTTTGAAAAAATCCATAGAAAACCAGACCTTGTTTCCAAAGTGTGAATTTACCACACTTATCATTAACATTTCTGCTGCTTCTTAAGAAGCTTTCAGGATGAATCTTAAATATTTACCTCGAATTAACTTTTCAGGGAATATTTACAACTTTTCTTTTCAATTTTCAGTTTGAGCGGTTGAACCTCGCTCTTCAAAGAACATTGGCAAGACACAAAATAAAAGAAAACAGGTAAATTGATCCATTTCAGTTATGTAGACCTCCTGTAAGCCTCACTAATACTGTTACTAATAGCCAACATTTACTCAAAGTATCAGTGCTTTTTGATTCATTGTGGTATGCCAGATGCTGGACTCGTGTTTTAGCCGCTACTAAACTGGAAGAAAGTGTACTTCTTTTTCACATTTTATACATCCCTTAACCTGGGTTTATATAAATGTTAAGCATCTTATAGCACATCAGGGAAAGGCAGAACTGAATTTCAAGCTCCAATTTTTCAGTCCATGATTTTAATGTGTTGCCATGTATGAGACTTTTAACACGCTCCCATAAGAAATAATCTCTACTCAGGGAAAATTTCTAAAATATTTAGCAACAGATAAGGCATGCTTGTTACTCCTTAGGGAAATATTTTAGTATTTTCATAACCAACTTGGTTATGCTGGTATGCTCCGACTGAATTTCAGTTCCTTTTATTCTTTTTACTTGTGTTTTGTCTTTAAAATGTTCTTTAAAAGAGCTTTCAACAGACACTTAATAAATAAGGAAATTTCTTGAAAATTTGATTATGTAGTTCATTTTTTCAGATAGATGTTTGCACACTTACTGCTGATGGATAATTTGAGCAACATTGTTTTTGATTTACTGAAAGCTCATGAATCATTTCACTTGTAAATGATAGAATAAATAACTGAGATCAAATTGAAGTTTGACAAACCAATGATAGCATTGTCCGCAATATTTTATAAATCCATTCTTCTGTCTGTTACTTTTGAGTGAACAATCGGCTCTGTGGATTATCTGTGCTTAATTTTCCTGGCTGACTAAGTGGCCCAGAAAGCAGGCAGCAGGCAAGGCAAGAAAGGGTCATGGATGGATCCAAAAGGAGAGAGTGTGAATCTATGATTCTGACAGAAGCTTTGTTTACAGGAGTGATATGAAGAGCATTCCAGAAAGCCTCTGACCTGAATACTCAGTCAGCTGATAAAACACCCACGAGTCCCAGTAGCCTGGCTGCTATGTCTGTCTGCTGAGTCCTTGGCAGCCCTGCCTACTCACAATCTCCTCTCAGGGCTTTGCGCTCTGAAATGTTTCTAAGTCAGATGCAGACATTTAGTTGGGATGTGATCCCAGCAGAATATCACTTCTAAAAAATCTTGAAATTAAAAAAAAAATAAGCAACTCTCATTTTATTTGGAAATCTTGAAAAATCTATTACCCTACTTGCCTGATTTCCCCAAGAGCTGTTCATTCCTTTTATTTGTCTTGGTGATAATCATTCAGTTGTTGAAATAAGATAGGGATTCCTGTTTTCCATAGACCCCCTGCTGATATCCTAAAAGGTATTTCTCTGCTTTGCATTTTTTAGTTCTTAGATAAACTATTTCTGGGATTTTTTTTACCTCCATCTTCCTGTATGCAAGTCAACTGTCCTGTCTACTGCTCTCAGTGTGCCAACTGATGAACAGATCTTAACTACTTTTTGCAAAAATGAATATACTAAACAACAAACTGTCCGTAAATGAAGTTCTCGAGCCTCTCCTTTTTTTAAGTGCATGAGTTTTAGTATCATCATTATGGTATATTCTTTGAGTCGGTTGTTGGGCGCCAAATCTGTTACAGGGCGGGGAGGGGGGCACCCCAGAGCCAGCAAACCTGCCTGCTCTAAATAGATTCTGCCATCTGCCTCATCAACACAAAACATATGAGACTTTAGTGAGAAGGAACTTTAATACAATTAGTAAACAATACAGGAAAGGCAAAGGATATAGTTTCTAAATCAGACACCCAAAGTTACCCGTCCCCTCGTGGGTAAAATTCCACTCAAGCAGGATTGGCCCAGAGCACGGCCCCAAAGCCTGCCACAAGCTTAAAGCACCTTTCAGTGGGGACCCACAGAAAAGGATCAGAAACAACCAGACAAGTCTGGGAGGAAAAGTGCAAAATCAAGATCAAGACAAAATCTGCCATTGTCACCTCCCCATGGGTCTCTCACCCACAGCTGTGTCACACAGTCCACGACCAAAAGGCAAGCACAGTTTCTTCACATGTCTCTCAGCTCCATGTGCCTCCTCCAGATCTCCTGGCTCTTCATCCTATTTCCTTCCTTTCCAGTCTCCTCTGCAGCTTCTTCTCTCCCTGGTCAGCTCCACCCTCATTTTGGGTGGGGCAAGAACCCTGTAACCTCCCCTTTTCTGGGGGACCACCCTCTTACAATTATGGTATATTCTCTGAGTTGGTTGGAAAAATTTTTTGCTTTATTTCATTCTATAGGATCTTTTGATTACATCATAGTGTGTGTGAATGTGTGTGTGTGTAGTGTGTGCATGTATACACATTCACTGGTGAACATGCAAGCGTTCACCTTTTTTTTTAGTTTTGATAGTGAGCTTAGTTTGAATTGTTCTATGTTCTTTTTGGAGCAGCTAAGCTTTCTTACATCCTTATCATGGGTGCTGGGAATTGGCAGAATTAGAGCTCTCTGACCACATTTGTGCTCTTTTGTTAGAAACAAAAATAGAAGTTGCACTAATGAGGGAAAAAGAGGCAAATCTGAAGATGAATTAATATAAAATACATAACAAAGAGTTTGGGGATATCTAGAGTCAAACTGTAATACCATATAATGATCCTCAACCAATTTAAATAAGAACATTATTGTACCTAGCATTTTAAATAAGTATAAGCAATATACCTTAATGTGATAAAGTAGTGGATTGGGCAATTTTCCTTATTTTCTCTTTGAAACAGATATCATACTTTATGAGATCTGTTGAAAATTTTAGACTTATGCCTGTTTGTAAACTTGGCTTGTGTAATGGCAGATTGAACCACAAATAAACCTTGGATATCTTCTAATATGCTTTAGTAGTTTGGCAAATTGAATCATAATTAGTCATCATCATCAGAAATCACCAAGAAACAGTTAAGTTGCCCAACTGAAATGACCAAAACCTTCATAATTTAACATGTTCTATTGTGTTGTTTTCAACTTCTGCTCTATAGATACCAGTAGAGAAATGGAATAAAGAATATTTTTTTTCTAGGGGCCTCCCTGGTGGCGCAAGGGGTTGAGCACAACACTTTGAAGCTGTCCTCAGCCTTTGCAGTTTGAGTTCGATCCCTGACCAGGGAGCTACCCACATGGTGCAGCAGATACTGACTCTCCCGCTGCTCCCCTCAGCAGTATATTTTGGTCTATCTGCCCATTCTGTTCCCCCCTCTGTCTCTGGTGAATCCTCTCACCTCCCAAAACTCTGGCCTGTACCCCAGCTCTTGTAATCATAAATAAATAAACGTATCTTTAAAAAAAAGATTTTTTAATACAAGGTCAAGAATAAAATTTTAATGTAATGATGTCTGAAAGTTAAATATATAGAATGAAAATTCAAAGGCAAAATATATATTTGCTTTAGGAAAAACTCGTGAATCTTAAAAGTGAAATCCATCAGTATATAGTTTTTTTTCTTTGTTGGGTTATCAGAAAATTAATTCTGAGACGATTTATTTCCAGTCCCTCTTGGCCATTTCATACTCTTGGTTCCTTGCCAGTATGAACCTTTTAGTGTAAACCTCAGTAAAGTTAATTTAAAAGGTAATGGTTCATAAATGATGATGAGACACTCTATCTCTCATGTTGTGGGATTTTCTAACTTGGTTCTGGGTTGTGCTTGTGACTGCTCTTTTCTTATGAATGTGAACGTCAAGTGTTGCCTGTATAGAAAAGGCAATTTAAATTATTTTCCATGATTTCTGTATGTTGTAATCTGAAGTGATAACATCCCATTGTCAGTTTATAATGTATTGCAATATTTTCAGGAACTCTTTGGAAAGAGAAGACTTTGAAAAAATAATTGTTGACCAAGCAGTTGCAGCAGGTAACAAATTGCTATAGTATATGTACATTAAGAAGTAATTATATTTGTAGAACTAATATTTATCTATAAACTAATATTTTTATTTGTAGAAAATATTTACCGTAGAACTAAAATAGTTATCAATATTTCTTCTAAAATATTTATATTTATACTCTTGTCTCTTCCAATGTAAAGTGTTCAATATCATGGGTTGTTACCATAAAAGATGACTTTTTTCCTTCCTTTCCTATATTTTATTTGCCCTAAAACATCTCCTCTCCTATTTGCTGAGAAGCAGAAAAGGCTGTATGGGGAACTGACTAATAGACATTTACGTGCTATGTTGTTGACTTTAACTGTTTCTTGATGCACAAAAAGTCTACTCAAAGTGAAATAGAGAATTTTTTTATTTGGTAATAAGAGAGGAGAGAGAATAAAAATAAGATTTTTTTTCAAAAACTGCAAGCTATTCTAGCAAAAGGATTAATAGTGTTCTCATATTAATAACTAATTCAGCAGAGAAAGTAGATGAATAACTTTGTTACATTATCTTTTTCAAATTTTGAGTATATGGACCAACAAGTTAGATCTTTGGTTGCTGCTGATGATGGTGGCAGTGATGATAACTTATACTGAGTCCCTTCCTAGGAGTCAGGCTCTATCTAAATACCATCCCCACACATTGGAACTGCACAGTGAAGGGGGCACTGATTTTTTTTCCTATGACCCAAGTGAGAAAATTTGGAACAAAGTTTCAAGAATAAAGGAAGGGAAGGAGAAGTTGGAGAAGGTAAATAAAATATTCCACACAAATATTCATTCGGGTAACATTAAACAACGAAATTATTTTGCTTAAAAATGATGTCATGCACTGTCTACAAAAAAGTGACAAAATCGAATTTCACAGCCAATGGTTTTAAATTAATTTGTGTGTCTGATGCTTATATTGCAGGAGGTCCTGGAGGGGAGAGGGTAGTCTTTTGTCAATGTACTACACCAAAGCTTTTTTGAAAACAGACTTGATCCTGGAAGTCCAATTGTTCTTGTAAAGTTAAGTTTAAGGGAGATAAAAACTTGTGCTTTTTTTTTTAATTAACTGAGTTGGGATTTTTATGTGGAGTCGTCAGAATTTAAGACACTAATCTTTGTAGCTCATTTGAATATAGGTGGCTAATTTGGTTGGTACTTTTTGTACCAGCTATAGAGGAAACTGAATAATCAAATTAAACAATGTTAAAAATAGCAGTAACAGAACAACATGAGCAGGATGGTGCATTTGATGTGGCAGAAGATCTATTTTGTGCTTTCAGGAGTTCCAGTGGAGAACGTCAAAGAATCTCTCGGTGAAGAGCTTTTTAAAATATGTTATGAGGAAGATGAACACATCCTAGGGGTGGTTGGAGGAACCCTCAAAGATTTTTTAAACAGCTTCAGCACCCTTCTGAAGCAGAGTAGCCACTGCCAAGAAGCAGAAAAGAGAGGCCGGCTTGAGGATGCATCCATTTTGTGTCTGGATAAGGATCAGGATTTCTTAAATGTTTATTATTTCTTTCCTAAGAAAATCACGTCCCTGATTCTCCCAGGCATCATTAAGGCAGCTGCTCACATATTGTATGAAACTGAAGTGCAAGTGTCAATAATACCCTCCTGCTTCCCTAGCGACTGCAGTGAGTTTGTTAATGAGCCTTGTTTGTTGTACTCCGTTCACATCAAAAGCACCAAGCCCTCGCTGTCCCCTGGCAAGCCCCAGTCCTCACTGGTGATCCCTGCTTCTCTCTTCTGTAAGACCTTTCCATTCCACTTCATGTTTGACAAAGATATGATAATCTTGCAATTTGGCAATGGCATTCGAAGGCTGATGAGCAGGAGAGACCTTCAAGGAAAGCCTCATTTTGAAGAGTACTTTGAAATTCTGACCCCCAAGATCAGCCAAACCTTTAGTGGCATCATGACGATGTTGAATATGCAATTTGTGGTCCGAGTGAGAAGATGGGACAACTCGGTGAAGAAATCTTCACGGGTAAGGAATGTGTAGTATTTGGAATATGAGATAGAGTCTATCATACTTTGGGTTTAGAAACATAAAGACAAAAATATATGCGTACCACTTCAAATATTTAGAGAAACATGTTTAAAATTCTAATATAATTTTAATGTTGAATAAATGTAAGAATATAATTTTCTGTGATATACTTCCACTTGCTTATTTACTTCACAAATAGTCATTGAATATAGTCGATCATTAAAAATCCTTTTAGAGTATTTTGTAACTGAATTAGGTAAATTATATAAAGATATATAGTCAGTCATCAAATAGCTGACTTAATTAATAGGTAGTATTGTTCTACAATGAAGAAAGAATAACTACTTGTTTCTTTAAGGAGACCATTATAATGGATTTCTCATCAGTATCTAATAGACATGGAAAATCAATAACTTGTTGGATTAACCATGACAGAATGTGTTTGGCAGAATATTCTGTCATTTCAGGGTAGAGAACTTTGGTGATTATTTAGCTTTTGGAAAGTTTGCTAAATCATAGTTGATAGTACAAACAAAGCTAATATAGAAGCTGTGATGCACTGAATGTTTAGACACATTATTGTCAGACCCACTGTTTGTTCCCCAAAATGAAACCAGCTTTATTATTCCTTGGGATAAAGATAATCTAGCTAGATGTTTTTAAAGTAGATAATACTTAAAACTTTCAAAATGCAAATAATCAGGGCCTCCCCTGGTGACATAGTGGTTGAGCACTGGGCTGCGAAGCTGCCTGTAGCCTCTGCAGCGCCCGTTTGATTCCTGGCCGCTGGCAAGGGTCCCACATGGTGCACAGACCTTTCCTGCCGCGCCCACTGCTCCCCTCAGCTGTGTATTTCGTCGGTCTGCCTGCTCTGCTCCCCGCTCTGGCTCTGCTGAATTCTCTCATCCTCCCTTCTGACTGTACCCAGTGCTTGTATAAATAAATAAATAAATCTTTTAAAAAAATCTTTTAAAAATATGCAAATAACCAAAACCACTAGTTACACACTTTTTTAATAGCAGCGAAATTACTATCAATAATTTTATTTTAAATACTCTGGGCATCCTTCTGTGACACTAGCTACAGGTCTGTTTCACTTTTCAAAGGCTTGTGGTGTCCCATTATGTGTTTGTCCTCTGCTTTATTTAATCAGACCCTTTTTGAAGGATGTGTGCTTTTGAGGTTGTGCTGTAGTGAACATGAGGACACATCTGTCCTCTTCCTGCAAGTGAATCTTGTGATTCCAGATAATCACGTAAGGTCTCACTTCTCCTGAGTCTTCCTTGGTACAGTCATTCCTGGCAGCTGCTGTTATAGAAGCAGCACAGTAACAAACGCATCAGCTTGCCATGTAGGAAGAAAGCACTGAAGCAAGGGTTTGGGGCACTGTTCATTGAAAATCATGATTTCCGTGTAGACTGTAGTCCACTATATTCTTCAGATCTCTATGGGTTTTAGAACTCAAACTGGAACTGTAAGAGAGCACATTGCTCTTTGTCAGCAGGTAGAGAAAATTGAGCTCAAATACAAAGGGATTATCTCTATATCTACCTCCTCTTCCCTTCTTTTGGCTCAAAAAGATATTGGCAACTTAATGAACGGCAACACTTGTTTGTCTTTGCTCCACAGGTTATGGACCTCAAAGGCCAAATGATCTACATTGTGGAATCCAGCGCCATCTTGTTCTTAGGATCACCCTGTGTGGACAGATTGGAAGATTTCACAGGGCGAGGGCTCTATCTCTCAGACATCCCGATCCACAATGCCCTGAGGGATGTGGTCTTGATAGGGGAACAAGCCAGGGCCCAAGATGGCCTGAAGAAGAGGCTGGGCAAGCTGAAGGCCACCCTCGAGCAAGCCCACCAAGCCCTGGAGGAGGAGAAGAAGAAGACCGTTGATCTCCTGTGCTCTATCTTCCCCTGCGAGGTCGCGCAGCAGCTGTGGCAAGGGCAAGCTGTGCAAGCCAAGAAGTTCAGCAATGTCACCATGCTTTTCTCAGACATCGTTGGGTTCACGGCTATCTGCTCGCAGTGCTCACCCCTGCAGGTCATCACCATGCTCAATGCGCTCTACACGCGCTTTGACCAGCAGTGCGGAGAGCTGGATGTCTACAAGGTAGGGATGGAGCAGGGCCGTGGCCCTACCCAAGCAAAAGGCATGGACCACTAGGACCTGAGTAATAGCACGAAGGAAAGGCTTTCTCTAGGGCCCTGCAAGGCTCATCTTGGAGCAGGCAAGACGTTAGCCATGGCAGGGGGAGGGAGGGTGTCTCCAGAAATAGCTCTGGATCTGCTCAGAGGCAAAGATTGTCATTCCTTGAAAGAATATCCACAATGTCTTATAGAATGGGGTGGAGGGGTGATGGGCTACATGGAGGGTGGGGTTTAGCAACCATGGAAAGGCAAAAGTCAAAAGTCAATGAACTGGGGACATCTGACCATGAAAGTCTACGTGAATTATGAAGCATGAAATACTTCAAAATGTAACATATACAGGGCAAGTTTGCCCTTGGTGTCGTAGGTAAAAGTAACAAAACATGAGTGTTATATAAATTGTCTTTACATAGATTAATTCAGTATAGAGATAGCCTGATAGTTTTCATAGCTGGTTAACAGAAATCTAGCCACTACTTAAGGCTTTACTATGGAGAGCAAGGGCAGAGGCATCTGAATCATGGGGGCCTGTCTTCAATTCTTGCTCTCTACCTTACTTTTCAAGCTGAGGAAGTTAAATAATCATCCTCATTTCTAAAACAGGAAGCAGTACCCATCTGCAGAGTTCATAGCATGAATAATTATATCCCATACTTTTCATAAACAGTGCTGTGTTAAATATTATGGTAAATAATATCTGTTCTTTATTAGACAATAGTGCCCATGATGTAGCAGGTGACATTTCAGACCCTGGGGATGCACAGTGGTTGTACCATATAAAAAGTTATTTATTTTGTTTATTGAAGTAATGTTGATTTATAACTTTGTATAATTTAGGATTATAGGTTCACACCTCCACACATGTAATTTATCACAACACACCACAACCAAAGCACCCACAATCCACTTGAGCCTCCTCCCTCCTTTTTGTGCTCCTCCATCCCCCACTCCCCCAGCCCTTTCACCCCCCACCCCCAACCTCCACCCCTTCCCTACCCTCTGGTAGCCTCAGTTCTAGTCCAGTTTCTAGGGTTTGTTTTGTTTTGGTTTTGTCTGCTCCTTTGTAATCAACTATTTTAAGAAATATTATCAATAGTATTTTATATAATGAAAAATAACTTATCAATAAGAGAACTAATGAAGTGATTTCACATTCTGCCTATTACTTTAAAATTTCAAACTTTTTTGTTTGCCTTTTTTCAGATATTCACATTAAGGAAAAAAACATGTTTCTCATTGATAGGGCTTGAATCATCTCTTAATCTGCCACACAGCAATCTGGTATTTTAGAGCTTAATCCGACATGAAATAAATCAGCTACTAAGGAGGAAACCATCATTACTTATGGGAATGCGTAAGCCCCTGCTTTGTTCCAATCTAGATGCCTGAAGTAAAACCTTCCTTTTTAAATTTTCTAACAGGAAATTCCAGACAGAGCTAAGATTCCCTTGGGAAAAAAGAGGGCCATGTAATATGACAGATAAAATAATTGGCTTCAGTTAAACTTGATGGCCTCTTGTGGAATTTACTATATTTACTTGTAGATAGTTTCCATCTTGAGCGTGTCTCCTCTCTCAGAATTATGAGCGGGAAGTCCTGTGTGTCTTTGCCAGCCACTGTGACTGCTCTGAAGAGACAGGAGTCACGTACTCACAATCTCTGCTTCTCCCCAAGGATGGATGCCCCAGAGGCCCTGGTTAATCCAATGCATTTCCAGCCAGACCCTTCCATACCACCCTTACTTCCGCTTTCTCTTCACTTCTGACTGTGCTTGAAAATACCTGAGGAAGCTGTAAATAATCAGGAAGGGGCATAACCATGGGATACACTGGAAATAGAGGGAAGGTATAAGCATTGCTGCTGGAGTGTGACACCTTCCAAGGCAGGGTCAAGCTTATTTACTCCAAGCCTATTTATTAGCTCCTGAGCACACCGGGGATTTCATTTCACCTTCTGTCTTTGAGTCTCTTACTTATTTTTCCATTTGTTTCCATTTTCATTTATTCATTGTTTCGGCAGATCTTTGCTGGTCATCCAACATTTGCCAACATGGGTGGGCAAAATCCTATGATAATTATGTGTTCATATGTAGGGGGAGAAAATGCCAGATTTGCCTAGGACATGACAGATGGCTGACTGCACTCCCACCCAGCCAGGTGCCATTGCAGGCCAGAGAATAGGCACTGGCACCAACTGGGAGTGAGGGCACCACCTCCCAGGGGGCGTGACAGTCCAGGTAGTAACATTTATTGAACACCTGTGATGTATTAGCTACCATGTGAAGCACGTCATGCACTCATTGCTGAGGGAAACTTCTAGAAGCACTGCCACCTTGTTTCTTCATTGTCGAATAATGATGGAATATATTGAACACACATCCCAGGCACTGGCGATATAAGCGTTAGTGAAATAAACTCAGAGGACTTGTATTCTACTGGGGGGAAAAAGGACCATAAACCAATAAGTAAATGTATAGTGCTCCAGTTGGTGCAGTATTCTGGAGGAAAGGAAAACCTTTTATTTATTATTTATTATAAAACAGGTAGAGGGTAAAGGGCAAGGCATGATTGCTATTTTATGGATAGTGGTCAGGACTAGCTTCTTAGAAGGTGACATTTTAGCAGATCCCCAAGGATACAAAGGACAGGCCAAGTGATTATTTGCAGGAAGATTCGAAGTATGACTTTGAGTAGAAAGCGTGAGCATATTTGTGGGATTGGAACAAAGCAAACAAGAGAGAAAGCAAGGAAATAATGTCAGGAATTAGTAGACAGGTCAAGAACACTGAGGGCATTGAAGGCTTCAGCATTCAGCCTGTGTGAAATGGGGAATCCCTGCAAGGTTGTCTTCTTTTCTTCCATGCTTTCTCCTCACCCTCCCGCCACATCTGAGGCTTTGCATTGGAAGGGTGATGTGATCTGACAAGTCACAGTAAATATTTAGAGGAGAAAAGTGCAGCTAACTATTAACATTTCATGGATTTAAAGTAACTATTAGTGGGGCCTCCCTGGTGGCATGAGGGGTTAAGACACAACCTGATAAGCTGTCCCCAACCTCTGCAGCATGAGTTTGATACCCTTCAGGCCAGGGAGCAATCCACATGGTGCAGCAGACCTATCCTGACTCGCCTGCTGCTCCCCTCAGCAGTGTATTTCAGTCAGTCTGCCTGTTCTGCTCCCCACTCTGTCTCTGGTGAATCCTCTCATCCCCCACACCTCTGACCTATATCGCAGCTCTTGTATGCATAAATAAATAAATCTTTTTTTTTAAAAAAGTAACTGTTAGCTTTCTACAGTCAGCATCACAGACAGATACAATCACCTGTGGCCACAGCAATAACCATGACATGATACATGGAATCTGTATAGCTTGATTTGTGGTAGCCTCCAGGCACCACTGTCCCATTGTCCCTCCTGAGCTGACATCCTGGGTTCTACACTATGTGGTTAACACCCATGTAGACACTCAGAGTAGCAATGAGGATCCCCAAAGTCCTTCTGAAAATCGTAATATCTTAGTTTTTCCATTTCATGTTCTCACATAAAATTCATACCATATTGGTTGATTGGTGAATGTGCTAAACACTAAATTTTATGCTGAGAGAATGTAAAATCACTAAGCCCTGATGTGAGGTCTCCAAACTTGTGCTATTCCTGGAAGGGAAAGCCATTTATGAGAGGATCAGGTTTACTCTGGCTCCCCACAGAGCATGAACACTGCTATACAATGTGTGCTGTGAGTATTCCTGAGCTTTCACTTTTAATATAGAGGGTGTATTGTGTGCAGGTGGAGACCATAGGTGATGCATACTGTGTGGCGGGGGGACTGCACAGAGAAAGTGACACCCACGCTGTCCAGATAGCGCTGATGGCCCTGAAGATGATGGAGCTCTCTGGTGAAGTCATGTCTCCCCATGGAGAACCCATCAAGGTAAGGCAGCTGTATGTCGCCCAGAGATCTCAGGAGAGGACGTGCTTACTACCTGTTATCCAAAGAATGGTATATTATTGGGGTTTCATTGCAGAGAGAAAAATCTCTAACTTGTTTAGCAGGACGTCGGAGTATTAAAAGTCTTACATTGAGAGGATTGAAGAAGCCATCTAGTAGTTGAGCTCCAGAAAATGGCTCCCAAAACTACACTTCAGAACTGTTGCTTTTTCTATATCTAGAGGCTGACACCACAAGAAGTCGGGAAATGCTTTGCCCAAAAGCTGCTGTCTCTGTCACTGACTACAGTGCAGAGCAGTGCCTACTGTAATTTGAATCTGCAACATGGTGATCCCATTTCAGGACGCTCGCAAAATGAGCGACTGGAACTGAGCTCCCTGTTCAGCTTAACATAGAAGACCCAGAGGCCTCTGCGGTTGTTTTGCCCTTGGAGGCACCAGAAGTGCAATCATGGCAGGAATCCTGACTTCCAAAGCTCATGCAAATGTGTGTGATTCACCAAAACTAAATGCATCTAGAAATGCCAGGAGAGAATGAAATATGTAATTTTTTGTTTCCCAGAGACTGCAGGGGAGGACATTGCACTAGGGTGAATGTCGACTACTAACCCACTAATGTTTTCCAAGGCACATCACATTCCAAAACTTCGAGATGAGCCAGATACCAGAATAATGCCTTGCAGAAGAGAAAATAAATTAACATATTAGGCATTGGTTTTTGAGACAGAACATGAATAGACACTTGAATCATCCCACTTGTAGTGAATCTACTGTTTAATTTTTCTAAAGCAGTCCTCAATAGGTCTTCGGAAATCGACCTTTGAATAAATACAAAATCCTATTTGGTATGTTATAAAACATACCAAAAGAAAAAATATGTAAAAAAGCAAAACTATAACATCTCAAAATTATCCTTGGTTCTCTTCAATCTTAATAGAAGCCATATGTCTAAGTCTTCTCAGCTATTTTCAAAGTCAACTATTGTTCCAGTTACAAATTGTTGTTGACACACTTCCCTAATTTTAGTGGCATAAAACCACAAACCTTTTATTATGCCAGTGTTCTGTGCTTCAGGAATTTGGGTGAAGCATAATAAGGATGCATTATCTTTGTTCTACACTATCTGGGACATGAGCTGGAATTGTTGAATGACTGAGGGCATTGTAATGGTTGGGATTGCACCACTGGGAGCAAGAGGACCATTCCAAGATGGCTGCCTCTCATATGTGCCTGGATCCTTGTGGGGTACTACTGGAAGGTTGGGCTCCTCTGGGGCTGCCATAGTGTTCCTGCACAGTAGCCTCTTGGCAGTGACACTTCTCACATAGAAGCCCATGTGCCAGTGGCCCATGTCCTTTTTGGACCCAACCTTAGAAGTCACACAGGGACATTTCCATTCTATTTATTCGTCAAAACAATCATAAGCCTGTACAGGGGAAGGCCGCTTTAGACCCCATGTCTCCACAGGAAGGGTGTGAAATAATTAGTGATTGTATTTTAAAAGCACCACAGCATCTAACTTTTCCAGACTTAATTTCTATTATTACTTCTTCTTGAATAGGAGAATTATGCCTCTCTCTCTCTCTCTAGTACTTATAGCATCAAATTAAATCCTCAAAATACATGAAGTAACAATAGAACCAGTTATTTCCAAATAAGTGAATTTTGTAATTAAGATGCTTATGTTTGTGGCAGGGGGATTGAGTGGGATGACTCCTTCATTTGTAGAAATGTAGATTGGTTTCATAAATGGAAGAATTATTTATAGGTAGTTTCAGAGATAATCATCTGGGTAGTACCATTTTAGCTTTAATGACCTGTAAAGTGAGAATTAACCACCTTTTTATTTGTACTAACTTACGGTCCTGGAAAAGACCCAATGACCTTCAGACCCACCCATGAAGTATCACAGACATAGGAGTGAGGAGTATTTTTATATAGAGAGAATATGAATGTATTAGAAGGAGCGTGTTGGGACTTAAACATTGTCTCACTTCATCTGTGAAACAGCATTATGAAGAGGAACCACATTCACTGATGGATGAGGGGCTGTCATGGGTCATAAGTCAGAGTCAAGTCTATCTGGCTTCAAAAACTTTTACCACTTCTTACCCTGCTATCCCGATCCCATGGAATCAAAATGAAAAAACAGGAAATATTCCCTTATTTTTCTTTTTATACTCTTTCCCTCCAAATTGTCATGTATACCAGTCATGTAGTCCCTTATTCTGACTGATTTCCTCACTAACATGTACCAACCCAGACTTAGAAGCTGCAGGCAGCTAATGGCAGAAACCAGAGCACTGAAAGCAGAAAGGAAAGTCAGTAAGCGCCAGGTGACCGTGGGCAAACTTCTGGTGTCCCTCCTTTCCTGGTTCCGGGAGTTTGTGATGAAAAATGCTCTCTGGGCCTCCCCTGGTGGCGCAGGCGGTTGAACGCAGCGCTGTGAGGCTATCCGCAGCCTCTGCAGCGCGGGTTCGATCCCGGCCAGTGAGAATCCCACATGATGAAGCAGACCTCTGCTGTCTCGCCCGCTGCTCCCCTCAGCAGGTATTTCGTCAGTCTGCCTGTTCTGTCCCCTGCTGTCTCTGGTGAACCCTCTCACCCTCCCATGCATCTGGACTGTACCCCAGTTCTTGTTTAAATAAAATAAATAAATTAATTAATTAAAAAAAATGTCCTCTGTGACAGTGATCACCAAACAGAGGAGTCTCCAGCAGGTTTCTGTTCAGAGCATTATAGGAATCTTAAACTTTGGATCATTTTATTGCTCATGAAGATGTAAATTCTATCCATCATCACATAATCATCTCTTTTACACAGTTACCATTCATCCCTTCACTGGTGATCTGGTGATCACTAGTTGGTCATAGAGTCTAAAAGGTTTTGTTTTATTTAGTTTATCCTCAGGCTTGTGTTTGAAAAGACCCCTGGTGAGAAAGTTTCTGAGAATGAGCTCCAAGAGCTGGAGAATGGAGAGCAGGCAGGGTGATGTTCCCTTACCTGCCTTGTTTGAACTTTTTTCAGGAGGCTGTATTTATATATTGACTATGAACTTGGAAAGTAAAAACTCTGGGTTAGATTTACCATAGAAAAAGCTGGAATGGCTGAGTGCACAGAAACTGGTTGAACCAGAAGAGTGTCGGAAGAGAGCCAATACCTTCTCAGCATTAACGCTACAGTAGTTGCTGGCATTTACAGGCAGCAATAGTCTTTTCTCAGCATTTCTTGTTTGTTTACATTGTTCATTTGTGATATGTGCAAAACCATATTCTGAAGGAGGATAATCACATATGATTTTCGTTGATACAAGTGAAACTGTGACAAAGAAGGGACTTTAAAATTAACCCAATCCTGCATTTTACAGATGAAGAAATAAGGGAAATAAAGAGACTGGCAGAAAGACTGCCACTTATCAGAAGAGTTCGGTTCAGAATGCAAACCTCCTGACTTATAATACTGTGCTTTTGCTGGAAAATTTTGCAAAATGCATGGTTTGACATTGTATGAGCAAATGATTCTGGAAAGTTATTGGCAGATAACTGAAATGACTTATAAAATGAGGCAGAATCAAAGTCTTCTGAATTCTAAGTTGCATCTAAGTTGCTGAGTACTGGCCTTTGTTTAAAATGCATTATTTAATATTTTTTAAATCATCAGTTGTATATAGAACTTGAAAATAATGAACTTGATGTCTGATTTCCATTGACAGTGTCCCTACTTTAACTTCTTGTTGCAGCAGTAATTTAAAAATCTGTGTACCTCTAAGGTCCTTAAGTTTTTATATCTTCTGGAAGACCCCAGTTTAAAATATTGTCTCAGTGGCTCTCCAGATCATTGATTCCTTTCTGAATAACTAAACTCTTCCCCAAAATACCCCAAACTGCCTCTTCTATCTGTGGTCCAACACGGTTCCGCACTGGTCCATATGCTCTCCACTGAAGTGTGTGCACTGTAGCCCCTGTTACCCAGGGCTAAGCTACTCCAGCTTTCAGCTTCCTTTGTCATTTTCTGCTTAAATATTACAACTTTCTTCCTCTAATTGTTAGTCATTTGAATAGCAGAGGCAGTATTTGGCATAAAGGTCTTTCAAAGCAAAATACCTAGAAGCCCACATTTCTTTTCCTGAGGGTTCTCTTTGCTCCTCTCTGACAGCTTTTTGGGAAAAAGCTCCTGAAAATTCTGTCTGTCTCATTTGATGGATAGAACAGGTTCACATAAACAGCCCACAGACTGTTTCAGATATTGAAGATCAGCAAAATAAAGATGATTTATGTCATACACTATGGCGGAGTAGGGGGCATCTCTCCCTACTCCCCTGGGTTCATCTCTGGTTGGTCGAATTATCCAATTAACATCAGGCTGATTTGTAGAAGGAAAAAAATCAAAATTAAATTTTGTGCAGACAGAGAGTCCACCTCCACCAGGCACAGAGAACAAGACATAAAATCAGAGTATATATTCTGAGTTTAAAAACTGGACAGGGACCTGGAGCATCACAGATAAGGTGGGAAGAAAGTAATTCACATGACAAGGAGCAGATGCTCTGTCATTAGATGTTGACCTGCCATATAAATAGACTATTCAAAGAGAAAGATTACTTCTGTAATAACCCTAATTCTGAGTTGGGTCTCCAAGTTACATTCTCTCAGGTAGTTGAGCGTTGTCAAATTTCCTACAGGGCCTTGTTTGATTGATTTCATCTGGAAGGAGTCTGCATGCCAGAAAGATAGAGCTGGGGAGGCCTGCTCAGACATCCTGGGGAGGTCTGTCTTTCCACACAGAAGCCAGTCAGTGGGACTGATCCTGGCTCGTCATTTCCAATTGAATGTGAGGAGCAGCAGGACATTGGCTGGAGGGCTTGAGGCAGGAGGAGTGCTGAGTGCAGAGTGGGGGAGAAATAATTTAGACTGGGCATTCCCGCCACCCTGACAAGTGGGAGGTGTGTTACCAGGGACTAGGGACATTATGTCACTTTGTGTTTCAGATGCGAATCGGGTTGCATTCCGGCTCTGTTTTTGCTGGAGTAGTCGGTGTTAAAATGCCCCGTTACTGCCTTTTTGGGAACAACGTCACCTTGGCTAACAAATTTGAGTCCTGCAGTGTCCCACGGAAAATCAATGTCAGCCCAACAACGTACAGGTACTGACTGCATGTACCAATTATTTTTATGTATGTGCAATTGTCATTTTTCTCCCATTGTGTCATTCTCCATGACTTTTTGGTTTTTGGTTAAGATAACCATAAAAGAAAAAGAAAAAGCAATAACTTTTATTACCCCCACTTTAACCTATTTAAGCTACTCATTAGCTTCATGAGAATGATTCTTCTGAGATTTGTAGCATAGCTATAATTTGACTCCTTGATGCATATCCCGTCTTCTCAAAGCATGTATTAATGTTCTGCACGCCTTGACAGGTATTTTGATATTACCAGTATACTGCAGTGCATCCTGGCACTAACTACCCAGGATTAGCACAGAATCCACACATTTTCAGGGTGCTGTCCCCAGCAAAGACTTCCCTTAACTTAGATGCCAGCTGTGTATAAATGTTACCTCGTTTCAAAAATCAAATTGTGACTTCCCAGACTCTAGAACTATGAGAAATAAATGTCTGCTGTCTATAACCTAAAAATAAATAAAAGTCAAATTGTGATGGATGCCCTTAAATAACAACAAAAAAGTTTTCCAGTACTATATGGTAGCTACCGTCCACCAAGCAAGTTAACTCTTTACTCTAAGAGACAGCTATTTCATAGCACTTCTTTCTCCTTGAAGCTCCAACAACTTTTCCTTTCCCTTCATCACTTGATATTTCCCAGCATAAAGGGCTGAGCCTGTCTCTACACCACCTTCGTGCTGCAGATCTGTTGGCATAGCTACCCCAGGGCACTTGCCTCCCCTCTGTCTCTGGGAAGAGCTGCCCTGCTCATTTGATATCATCCCTTCCAGTTTTGCTCTCAGCACTATTTCCTCTCACTTTCTCAAAAATGTTTATTCTGAAAATGATCACATTCTCTCTATGCTCAATTTCTGTGATGGAATGATTTTTTTGCTTCCAAGTCTGTTTCAGCAACCTGCCCCTATCTCTGCTGCCCCTTCCAGAAAAAATTCCTTCCCAGGGATGTGCATTCTCACTGTCTCTACTGTTTTGCCTCCTTCTCAAGTTCAGCTCACTCAGCAGTATTGTCCCATGCATCCCACTGAGGTGGGTTTTATAAGAGTCATTCTTATTCCATTGAAGTCATGGCTAGTTCCTTCTTCTTCCATAGAACAGCTTGAACACTTCTTCCTTCAAACATGTTCTTTAGGTTTGAGGGGCCACGTACTCACCTGGTATGCTCATTTCCCGCGGCTACACTTTCTCATTGTCTTTCCTCGGTGCTCTTTCCCTGCTAAGCCTTTGAACATTCTAGAGCCCAAAGCTCTACCCCTTAGTCTCATCTGTGTCTGAACCTTTTTGACTCACCTTCTTTGCCGCCGACCTGTCCTTTCATTCTTCAATCAGCTACAGACTCACATCCCATTTGCATTTCCAGTAGGTGATTAAATTAGGTGACATATTGAAATCAAATAATCCTATTAGAAGTGATTCTTCTCCTCACCCACACTCCCCACTACTCTGTTCCATTTCCCATGCGGAAAACTTGCTGAATTTCCTTAAAATGCCTCTGCCATCTGCACATCATCACATCATAAACCTCAGCACCATCATCCCTTTCTCCCCTCATGGCCATCTCATCTGCCTACAAATTGTGTTCTGAATATAGCTTTTCTCACCTCCTTCGATACCACACCCCAAGTGGAGCCTCCTTTCTCCCACCTCACCCTAGTACCGTCCTCACTTTTTTCTCCTCTTCCTTGCTCCCCTGCACACTTCCTCCCCACCAGCCCTCCTCCATGCGAGAGCCAGATTGTCTTTCTAAAGCATAAATCACATTGTGTCCTTCCTGCATTAAACCTCCTCCACTGGTTTCCCAGAGAAACCAGAATAAAGTTTAAACTTGTTATCCAGACTAAAATGTCCCCTCTGATCCGTATCCTGCCAGTGTCTGCCATCCCCTTTTCTGCCTCTTTCTCGTTCATTCACTGGTCTCCTGCCAGCCTAAGCTTGCCTTGGACAGAGAGCCAGGGAAACAAATGGCATTGAGATTTAAAATGAGTTCAGCACAATTGGAAAAGTAGTAACAAAAAATAAAATTTGATAGAACAGATGAACTTAAGAAGAAAATCTATTTTAAGTACTAGCATACTAAGTAGAGTGTCCCCATGTCTAATTAAATTTCATTTTAGTCCTGCTAACCTAGAATTCATAAAATTTTTATTGAGAAAGCTAAATGTAATCTCATCTTATTAGAACTTTTTTTCATTTATATAAAACTTCACATATATACTATTTTCACTTCCATAGAAATTCTCTTTCATCATTTCTTACCATCGTCGTTTCACAATAATATTTACAAAATTGATGAATTGATAAATGGACTTGTTTTATTTCTTTCAACATAGGAAACCTTATTCTGTAACATTTTTATGCATTGTTTTGGCTATAGTTAAACTTTGGACTATTTTGCTTTCCTTACATTGCTGAAGTTGCACTACTATATAGATTATATAGCTTATATCATTGCAAAAATATTTCACAGTCATTTTCCCTAATGAAGAAAATACATTATTTGGTAGAATTTTCTTATTATTGTGAATTGATTTTTATGCAAAGACATTGTTAACATCATCAGGCACATTGTGCTAAGCATACCAAAAATAGCTGTTTTTTAAATATTCTTAAGAACATTTATTTAACTATGTTGCCTTTTCTTGAGTAGAAAAACATTTATGTCATTATTAAATTTTAATATTAACATTCTTATTTTAATTTCCCCAGATTACTCAAAGACTGCCCTGGCTTTGTGTTCACCCCTCGCTCCAGGGAGGAACTTCCACCCAACTTCCCCAGTGAAATTCCTGGAATCTGTCATTTTCTGGAAGCTTATCACCAAGGAACAACATCAAAACCGTGTTTCCAGAAGAAAGATGTTGAAGATGGCAATGCCGATTTTTTAGGCAAAGCTTCAGGAATAGATTAGCAGAACATTTAGCTGATTATTAGTTTTTGGGGTTTGACTCCTTTGAGCTTGTGTGGAACTTCCAAAAGCACTTTAGGCTTGCAGACAGCTAAAGAGCAGTATTAAAATTTCAGGAGCTCAGTCACAATCTACTTTTCTTCCACTTAACATGACAAAATGTGTTCACTTCAGTACTTAGGTGAAAAAAAATGAAAGAAACCTCAAAATGTGACTTTTGGGGACCACTTTTGTTAAATAATGATCACTCACTCTCTATTGCAAAGTTTAGCACCTGTATATAGACCAGGAATTGTAGCCTGATGGAGTCACCTGCCTTCTCGTGCCCTGGTAGAATCCCTAGCCTTGGCTATGAAAGTGTATTTGTGATAGTCTTGCCTTAAAAAAGCTTTTGAGTAGAAATTACTGTCTTTGATACCATCAGCTCTTTTAACCTTTCCACTCTTCAGTTTATTACATTTCTTCATTAAACTGTTAGCATACGACCATAAAATAGAATAAGTTTTTCTGTTGCACTTTTTAAGAGAAAATAAGCAGTTATGGGTTAGATGCAATATAAGTATGAAATAATTCTGTAAATATCGAAGATTATTTTATAAAAATATTCTACTGAACGTAACATGTCATGACAATAAATATACTACTTTTTGTTTGGCATTGTTTTATTCTACACATGGTAAAAACTATTTTCATTCATATTAGCAATTGAATTCTTATCCATTCATTTTCATGTCATAATATTTAGGATAAAAGAGGCTTTTAGCCTGTATTAAAATGTAGTAATATCATTACAATTTCATTTAACTAGAAGCAATGTGTGAATAAAGTAAGGTCCAGGGAACACACCATGAAGTACAGAAGTCAAACATTTACATGCACACAGCCACACACCCACATACACATGCTCATGTGTACTCACACTCACATACACAGTGAGATCCATTTTTGTCAGCAGACATCCTCTTTGCCATGCTCAGCCATGTAAAGTTCCTATCAGAACATCTTCATTCAGAAGCGGAAAATAAGACTTTCTTTTCGCTGATACTTCTTTTTAAAAATATTTGTGTTGAACAATTTGATGAGTGTATGTAGGCTAAGTTTTTTGTCTTTAGTACACATCTGTGGTTTTTTTTTTAATTCTAGTTCAAACATTTCAATGGCATTTTTAAAATGGGATGTTAGTATTGATGAAGAAAATTGTAATTTCATTATGTAAATTCCCAAGCATTATTCTGGAGCTTGTACTTTTATTTTTAATGATACTTTAAGATCTCTGGTGAACAAAATAATGTACAGAATTTTGTTTGGGATAAGGATTTGCCTTTAAAAATTAGAGCTCAACTTCAAAGTAAGAAAAAAGAGGACTTGATAGTTTTTAAATCAGTATTAGCAGATCCCTAGAGGCACCTAAATTTCATTGGGGTTATAAGAAGTAACTCAGTTTAAATTTCTTAACTTTTCCGTTAAGTCCCTAGCTAAACTCATGGTAACCTCAGGAATAAAAAAATCATAATTAATTGATCTCTAATCTCCACAGGCTTCTACTGTAGATATTATAATAATTGTCCTTACTAAATGATACTCTACTGTAAGGACTGAATATATCTCAGTCATTACTAGTGTTATTTTTGGGGTATAACATAGGCCCGGGAAAGTATAGTTATAGTCTCACAATTATATGAGGTTAATAAAAGCATTTGAAAGGAAAATAAAAACACATTTTTTCTTTCAGGAAGGGAACCCTTATTATAAGGAAAATAATAGAAATTTTAAAAATGTAAACAGCATAAAATAATATTTCTTTATCAAATAATAAGTAGACCCCAAATTTGTAGTAATTTCTGTTCTAAAGGTTTGTAAATTAAAATTTGAGGTATATTTGTCTGCATACATGCACACACACACACACACACACACAGAACCACTGGAGAAAAATAAAAGCATTCTGAGTAAAAGTTATACTACTCCTGCAACTTTTCCATAAATTTTACATTTTATCTAAATGAAAAGTTACTTAAAAAGTATATTTTCTCAGAAAAATTAAATTATCTGTTGTAGATTCCCAGACCAGCCTACTAAGATTCATCAAGTAAGTTATGGAATAACTTGTGAACCTGATGCAAGAAAAACATACACCATGGTAGGGTGCATTCAAAACCCACAAACCTGATGCTAAAAATGTTGAAGAAACCTTTTTCATTCCTTCTCTTACCCACCGTGGATGGTAGCAATTAGGGAGACATTTTCAGATCCAAACCACTGATGGCAGCCAGGGTAGAGACCCTAGAGAGTAAGTTGTCAAAGAAAGTTAAGGGCCAAAGCAGGAACTGAGGATGAAGAAAAGAATGGACTCAGTTGTGTGACAAGGTGGGGGCTCTCGTTGCCAGTCTAAGTATCCTGCATATAATGTGTATTTCATGTCTGCTTCTCAATTAGCATGTTTCTCCTGAGAATTCTGGAACTGATCCTTCTGTTCAGGTTTAATTGTTGCCATTCATGCCTCTTGTCCCCTTGTTTTATGTGTAGTAAATAAATTTTCTCTCTATGCGGTTTTCTCAAGCAAACCTAGAGTTCCACTGAAGCTTTTTGAAGATGTTTGCATCAAAAAGCAAAGGGAAATAGAGAGCTAAAATGTATCTTCCCATTTTGCCTTATCTTTGTTTCCCTCCAGACTTTGCAAGAAAATGCAATGTGAATTTAGATACCAATAGAGTCATTTACCCATTTTCATTTATTTATTCATCAACTATTTACTGATTCCAATGTGCCATGAATAATGCTGTTTTTAGAATTCAAAGATAAAGAATTGTTTTAGGATTCAAAGAAAGGAAAATGAAAGGTGAACATAAGAAATAATTACAAAATTCTATGGAAGCACAAAGTAAGATACTCCGTGCTTGGAGACATGGAGAAGTTGGAGTCTTAGAGGAGTCCATCAAGCTGGGAGGGGCTCAGGGTGGTGGCGGGGGTGGGGGACATGTCCAGGAAAATAAAGTACACACACAAAGAAGTGGAGTCTTAGAGTCACAGAATACATCCTGGACAGTGAGCTTCCTGGAATGAGTTGGGGATGAGAAGGACAGAAAAACCACTTGAACATAAATCATAAAGGGGACTGTCATGTTAATGTGTGTGATGATGATGATGGTGATGACCATAGATGATGATGTAATTATTATTAATTGCTATGGAGTCCTTTGTTCAAAATAAATCTCACACAAGAAAAGAAGCAGCAAAATGGGGAAAAAAGCACAACCACCCACCAACAAGCACAACAACCCACCTTCCCCAACAGTTTAAGATCTACTAGGCAAGGTAGACCTCAAGTGTTAAAGGAAGAGAATGGGATGATCAGATGTGTAATTTCCAGGGCAACATCAGAGACAACATGGGTAAGGGTGCATGTCTACTCGCACAGATGATTTAATGGGCATTGTCCTGTATCTCAGAAGAATGATACTGGGTGTGTGACCGCAAGCGTGATCATACAGCTGGGATGTCTGACTTTGGAATTTCATATCACTCTCAAGACCACTAGTCTTCAGATCCTTTCAGGTCCTTTGGTGGGATGGAAGGAAGGAGGAGTGGCTTCAGCATTTTAGTAACCTTTCTTCCTTATCAATTCTCTCTGATATTGTCAGTCTCACTGAGGCAAACCACGCCTAAGCCTGTCCTATGATTAGATCAGAAAGTCACAGGACAGAGCAGGGTGTTCTGGGGTGAGCCTAGCAAGAGAAAGAGATGGATGAAGTGGGAAGTATGCTCCACATAGTCTCTGGACCCTGGGGATACACATGAACCCTGACATTGCCCAGCCTGGGAAATGCTCCAAATGACTTCTAGGGTCATGTATGCTTTAAACCAATATTCAAGTTTAAGCAGCAGTTAAAGAATGGGTTAATGAATTATTTCAGTAGTTTTCAGTCCATAGATTGTATCTGGATAAATCATTAATAAGTGAAAAGGAATTTCTGGTGCATATTTGGGGGGTGATTTGATAGATCGCTACCCTTCACCCAACGATAAGGCATTATTTTGCCTCATTGTGTACCTCGGTATTATTTCACTCTTTAGATAACTGCTCTTAAGGATGGGGGGACATGGCACAGGTGAGTTGGTGGGTGCTCACCAGAGGGGTGAGGCCAGCGGGGTCACAATTCCTGTGACAGTTTCCCCTCCTTTCTCTTCCACACGCTCAGTGCTGCAGGCACTGTGGGGAAGTGCACCCCCTGGCCTCTCACTAGCTCCAAGCCCCAGAGAACAGCAAATGAAACTTTCAACCAGTTTCCAGAATTTCCGGGGTCATTTTTGGTTGCGATTCTTCTTAGGCACTGGGGATATCTACATTTTCTAGTGACAAGGGGGAAGACTCTCTCCTGCTGTGAAAGCCATGAGCTCATGGAAGTCAATAGCCCTTTGTCCTCTGTTGTGTTCCATTTCCTTCTGTCCTTAGATGTTAGCTTCCAGATTTTAGATAAAGTGTGGTCGCCTCTTAAATGCTGCTTTTACTCTGCTAATGTGCATTCACTTGGTATTCTGAGTTTAAGCCACTTCAAACATTTTGCATAGCCTTGCCATCTGTATCTCTGGAAGCACCCTGCTCTTAGCCTGTCTGTCAGCCTACGCTTGTCTGACCAGCTCAGACAACCCACATGCCTTTTAATCCCAGGGTCTTCCATTGTCTTCTCAGGCCCCGGCTTTCTACATTCAGTACTTGCAAAATAAAACTAAACAACATGCCAACATCTTCATAAATGCATAGATTCCAATATTTTGAAGGAAGCTAAAGAAAAAGAAAGGGATCCTCTAAAAACCAGGCTTCCTTTATCATCAGTACAGATTCTTTTCCATCACAATAAACTAAGTTTCAGGAAAATGTTAACATTTTAAATTTAAACTTCAGGAAAGATATCAAAATATTTAAACAGAAAACCTAGAACATAGTCTCACATTTGCTGGTAGAAGATTTCGGCCAAGATCATGCTGTCTTTCTCTTTTTTTTTTTTTTTTTTTTAGGTATTTAAGGTCAAAATATCAAATTGCAAATTAACTTTACACACTGTGAAAAAAGTTGCTTGGCAGAAAATGACATTGTATAATACACAGATCTTAAAGTATCTGCTAAGATGTGCGTTTATTCCAAAAGGCTTCCAGAGAACCATCTGTACTGAGGGAAGAACTATCAGGGACTCTGAGCAAAGGAAAACAAAGCGAAGAGACTCACACACTGTTAACGGAAGTTGGATAATGCAGTTATTACACACCTAAACGTGGGGGAAACTGCAGACTTTTACAAAGTGATGCTGACAGTGGTCATGGAAGTCTGTGTCTTTAGAAGCAGGATGCCCAGTGACAGGGGAGGTACAATGTCCAACACCATTCAGTAACAAGGGGTTGGCTTCTTCCCCAGAGAAACTGCACCTTGCAAAATTGAAGTGAATAAAAATTTGTTCACCTTTGAGAATGTACTGATCCGTCACCTCCTCCCACATGTCAATTGAAGATGCCCTGCAAATTCTTAGAACTTGATATTCACTCTTCTGCAGGAGTGTTTGTCAATCTTTGGGATTTTGCTACAGTATTAGCAAAACATTTTAGTACATCAACATTATTATAAATGTATAAAAAGTATTTCTGTAAAAATTAATGCTTCTGATTATAAATATAATAGGATGCTCTCAAGTTAATAAACTATAAAAGCTTATTTTACCTTTTAAAGTGAGCATGATTATAACTTCTAATAATTTCTTCACTATCCCAGTAAATTTTCTGTATATTACTGCTACAATTAATTGGCCAGTGTGTTTTCACTTTCATGTATCACCTTGGGGACTGGATAAAAGATGTAGACCATCACCCCTCTAAAAACGTTTATGTGTACATATATCCCAAGATTTATGTTTGGGGTATATTTCCAGAGGTTTGGGAATTCCCTGGAATTACTTCTAGACACCCCTTTGAAGTACCACCTGTTCTCAAACTAAGAAGTTCTTATCTGCCTGGGGATGTAATAGTAAATAATTTTTGAAATGAGCAGAGAATGAATAACTGGAAGAAACCTATGGCTTTGGTTTAGCTGGCACTACTTTTGATTTTTAAAAATTAAAGGAATTAGGTCTTTTTTAATCGTCTGTAGAATTACTTATGGGGCCTCACAAAGAAGATTTGCTTATTTTAGCAAATATTTACCCTATCTTTCAACCTAATTTTATCTAGCTTTTGGTAAATATGTACTGCTATTGGTATTTCATTTTTTTCCCCTAATGCAAGTACTCTGCATTTTCCCCCCATGTGAAAAAAAAAAGATAGCTATTGGAATTGGAGTTGAAAATCTCTTGATACAAGCAACAGTCCTTTTATTATTACTTCATAGTTGTTTTAAATAACTTGTTTATTTTGAGTTCTACTGCTGGCCAAATTGCAAAGCCTATCAAAAAGTTACCATGTGTCTCAGAAGTTTTGTTAGATATTACTGTCACACAAATATTGTAATGAAGTTTGAAATAAAAGCCTTCTTAAAATTTAAAGTGATGTCTGCTTAAAAAGCAAAAGGAACCCCTGAGTTAGGTAGAAACTATTGCTTGAAGCAGCACAAATACTTTCACGCTGATGTTATTCTTGCTGCTACAAATGAAGAACTAACTCCAAGTAACAGTGCAGAAAAACAGGACCCACAACCATTATTCCAGATTTTTGCTGTGTAGAGGTCAATGTATCCAAAATCCCTTTTCAGTTAATAATTCAAATTATTACTAAGCATATATCAAAATGCAAATGCCTATTTCCAATAAAACTTATATTCCAGTTTTTCAAATTGCACATGAAATAAAAAATTTTCCACTATTAAAAGTAAGACTGAATGTGGACTCAGCTTACCCAAGTGTGGTTGCCTAGGCATTTGGTCAGTTTTGGTTTGTTACCAAACATGTTTTTCCCAGAGTATCAACCACCTTTTGGCAGCACTGCCTTTTCAAGGATGTCTAGCTAGGAGGTAGCCTTAGAAAACAGAGACAATTTCCCTCTGTAGGATAAATGGTTTTCTGGCTTTTCTGCCCTCTGCATTAGGATTGCCCTGCCTTATGGGGCACCTGCATTTGTCACATTGTTGTAAGTTGTGTTGTTTACATCTGTGGGCCATGGCAGCAGTATTGAGATATTCACCAAGAGATGCAGAGGCGCAGAGAGAGGCAGGAGAGGGAAGGGGAGAAAGAAAGCCAGAGAATCCCAGAGTGAAGACTTGCTGGGGGCTAGGAGTCTTGCCTGCCTCCTGGCCCTCTGGCACCTCTGCCTGCTGTGTACCTGGTTGCTGTACTACATGTAAAAGCTCAAGAAAAGCCAGAGAAAGCCACCGAGGGCTCAAGGACTCTCCTTTACCCACCCAGTCTGCTTGGATCCTAGATATCCTGCTCTGTGGCCTTCCTGCCCCTACACCCTCCAAGGTCAATGTCTATGACAAGGGCCTGTTCTCTGAATACACTGACTGGAACCAGGGGCTGAATTACCCTACCCCACCCAGATTCCCACCATCACTGTATGGACCCATTTTTATATGAAACAGAGCAAAACGTTCACCATAACAAGCAATGCACAGTATGTTTCAGACTCAGAGGTTACCGCTG